TCGTCTACAGCTTGTGGTCCAGACAACATTCCTGTCACAGTCTTGCAGAATTGTTCTCCAGAACTTTCTTCAATTCTCTCTAAACTATTTAACAAGTGTTTGACTGAGTCTTGTTTTCCTGCTTGTTGGAAAATGGCATCTGTGGTTCCAATATTCAAAAACTCTGGAGAAAATTCTGACCCCTCCAATTATCGCCCGATCAGTCTTCTTTCTGTTATTAGCAAGGTCTTTGAGACTTTGATCAACAAATTCCTCACATCTCATCTTGAGTCAAATAAATTGCTGTCAGACAATCAATACGGTTTTCGATCCTCTCGCTCTACGGCCGACTTGCTAACTGCTGTAACTGAAAGATTTTATCGTGCATTAGGTGGAGGCGGTGAGGCTAGGGCTATTGCTCTCAACATATCTTTGGCATGCTGGTCTTCTCCATAAGCTTGCTTCATATGGTGTTTCTGAGAAAGTTTTTGAGATTATCAAATCATTTCTTTCTGACCGGTTTATTAAAGTCATCCTTGAAGGCCAACACTCTTCTTTATTTCCAGTAACATCTGGGGTTCCCCAAGGTTCCATCCTGGGCCCTGTTTTGTTTCTTATCTACATAAACGATCTTCCTGACAACCTTTCATCTAAAGTAGCTCTTTTTGCTGATGACTCAACTTTATACTCCTGTCTTGACAAAAAGTCTTCTCTTTTCGATCGCCTAGAACAAGCAGCTGATCTTGAATCTGATCTCACTTCGGTGGTAGATTGGGGTTCACAGTGGCTTGTGAGTTTCAACTCTAAAAAAACCCAATTGCTTACTGCAAACAACTACCGTAATATGGTCAACATTCCTATATTAATGAATGGCAATCCTCTTACTGAGTCGTCCTCTTTACGTCTTCTTGGATTATCGCTTACTACTGACCTTTCATGGAAACCATATATACAATCGATTGCTAAATTAGCTTCTGCTAAGGTTGCTTCTCTTTATCGTGCTCGCCATTTCCTTACTTCTGATTCCATTCTCTACCTCTACAAATCTCTTATTCATCCCTGTATGGAATACTGTTGTCATATTTGGGCTGGTTCTTCTAACGATTCACTTTCTCTTCTTGACAAGGTCCAAAAACGCATTGTAAATGTTGTTGGACCTGGACTATCTGCTAAGCTTGAACCTCTTTCCCATCGTCGTAAAGTTGCATCTCTTTCTCTTTTCTACAGATACTATCATGGTCACTGCTCAAAGGAGTTATCATCTCTAGTTCCATCAACTAAAATTCATTCTCGTTTTACTCGTCATTCAGCTAAGTCTCATTCGTTTACTGTATCTGTCCCTGCATGCTCTAAAAACTTTTATTCATCTAGTTTTTTTCCCCGCACTTCAATCCTTTGGAACTCTCTCCCATCTTCATGTTTTCCTGACTCATACAACCTTCAACTTTTCAAGTCTTCTGTCAACCGTTTCCTTGCTCTATAACTCTGTTCTTTTTTTTTTTCCTAGTAACTCCCAACTTAATAGTGGTTGCTTGCAGCCTTGTTGGGAGTGAATGCAAATTAAAAAAAAAAAAAAAAAAAAAAAAAAAAAAAAGTTTTGTTTACAACATGCTACTTAAATTTGCTTTGTTGATGTATGACATAAACTATAGCCCGGGTAAACAAAAAAAAGCAATTGCTTTTACTCAGTAATTGTTCAGCTTTACATGAATAAAAACTTCAGCAATTTTACTTAAATTTTTATTCATGTAAAGCTGAGCAGTTACTTAGCATTTTTGGAGTAAATAGCTTAACTTTACATGAATAAAAATTGGTCTGGTTTATTAGCATTCTCTTTAGAACTAAAGTTTTGGAAAGTTTTCTACAACCATGCTAAATAAATAAATATATATATATATATATATATATATATATATATATATATATATATATATATATATATATATATATATATATATACATATATATATATATATATATATATATATATATATATATACATATATATATATATACATATATTTATATATATATATATATATATATATATATATATATATATATATATATATATATAACATGGTAGTAGAAAACACATATACCATAGATATATATATATAGACAATTAAAAATTAATTTAGTATAGAAAATTGGAAATCAATTTAACAACATTATTTTTATTTAAACAAAAAATAAAAGCATTTTATTTTTGTTTTGTATAACTGTTTAATAAATGTTTACAAGTATGTTTTTGTAAGTGCCTGTTTCAAAATGCTCCTATTGAAAGAGACTGTTGCAAAAGTCTTCTTTAGAAATGAGTTGTTAAGCAAGTTTCTTTTTCGTCAATATTACAGAATTTGAATTTTTTTTTTTGTATAGCGCCTTACAGAAGGTGAATTTTCAAAATGAATCTTTTTGCAAGTTTCTTTTCGCAAGTCGTTATTATGGATATGTAAATTCTGTAATAGAATTTAAAATACAGTAGATAAAGATGCAAAACTTTTCGAAGTCTTGTATTTTGGCGAACAACCCTATTTTATACAGTGTTTTTATTAACTGGATTAACACCTATTTGATATAAATAAAATTTAAAACATTTTAGTTATGGAAGTCTTGGTGAACATTACTATTTTTGTTACAGTAAATTTCTTAATTTTTCCTCAAATATTTTTGAGATATAAAGAATTTGAGTTAATTTGCCCCTTTTATTTGAACATGAACATTGGTATTTGAAAACTAAATTGAAATATTAAAAAAAAAAACAATTAACTCCTGACCCACCAGTCTTAAAAAAGTGAATATTTTTTCAGTCTTAAAAAAGTGAAAATTTAGTAAAACTTGCATAGAGAAGACATTCTTCTGATGTGGCATAAATTAAAAATACTTCAGCTCTAATGCTGTACTATGTTATTAACATTCAAAGTAAAGTCATTTAAATAATTAGTTATTTAAAATTATTAATAATTTTAAAAAAGATTATTCCATGATTTCATTGTTGTTTATCAAAACTAATAAAAGAAATTCAAGCAAATATTTGATTAAATTCTTCAAATAAAAAACTAGCATCATCTCTAATATCTCAAAAAAAAAAAGTTTTTTCAAATTTGAAAAAAAAAAAACACCAGCTTTAAACATTGAAAAACAAGTTGTAATAAAAAACAAGATTCAATCTAGTTGAATCTTGTTTTTTTATTACAGTTATTTTAAAAATAGTTGTTTTTGAAATAAGTTGCTTGAATATTCAAAACATTTCCAATAAAAATTATGAAAAAGTCATACTAACACTGATAACTTGAACAGTGGAATAATATAACTAGAAACTATGAAAAATCAATATATATTGTATAAAAAAAACATAAATTATTTTTTGTCTTTTTTTTTTATTATGTAAATTGAATTTTATTGTAAAAACAAAATATTAAACAGAGACTTAGTATTTTTAGAGTGCCATAAGCAGGGTGATCACCAAAAGTTTAGAAACTTCTATCCATACCCAAAATTAAATTGGGGGTTATATTATTTTCCTTCTCTTAGGAAAGTTGCCTTTACCACAACTAAAGAGCTTCATCTGACATGTGTGGGAAAAATTTACTTTAAACTCTTGAAATTTATGCCACATAACTCCTAATATCACAGTTGTGGACAAGAAAGACATGCGATCGCACTCCAATCTTGGCGCAAGTAATTGTTTTTGTTTTTTGAAAGTTTGATCACGGCTCTTTAGAAAAATAAAAACGCGCTAAGTAAAACTGACAAAGATAAAAAATTATAAACAGGCTAAACTAAATAAAAAAGAAATCTTAACGAAAGAGAAATTACAAAAAAAAAATTAAAACCTATAGTTCTAAAAAAAACTCTAATAGAAAATTATTTTTAATTATGTTAAGGTTGAATAACTCGTCGCTTTGGTTTGACGAGTTCCTAACTGATTTTTTTTTATATTAGGAGAATAGAAAATAAATCTTTTTTTCTTTTTTTTAAATGTCTAAATAAAAATATTTTTATGATTATTATTTATTTATTAATGTATTTTTATATACCAATCAAAAAAAATAATACATAAACATAAAAAAAAATAATAATACAAATAATTTTAATTAAACATTTTAAAAAATGAAAAGATTTTTTTTTAATTCTCCTAATACAAAACCAACACAACAAACTATAAAACTCTGATCTTTTCTAATGATTTTATAAAATTATAACTCTTTTAAATAATTAAAAAATTATATCTAATTATCATTTAATAAAAAACTAACTTTATATAAATTATCAAAAAATATTTTTTAAAAAAGTTTATTGAAGCAAATTCTTTGCTGTCGTTGTTTAAGAATACAAATTGTTTATAAAAATTACATTCATCATTAAAAAAAAAAGTTTTGAAATAAAAGTTTTATTTAATATGATAATTTATTTTATAGCGTTTTAAAACTTTATTTAAAAGCATTTAGTTTAGTGTAAACAAGTTTTATTTAAAGGTTTACATAGCGAACAAAAAAAAATAATTTTGTTATTTTTTCGACTATTAAATTTATGGATTCATCAAAAAGTTTATTAAAACAATCGTTTTTGTAGCTTTTTATAAAATTAATTGTACAAATTGCTTTAAAAACATTTACATTCATCATAAAAAGTACACTTTTTAAAAACATAATTTCTTTTGATAACTTAAACATGTCATTTAAAGTATATAATCTTTAAAAACAACTTCTTGCTTAGACTTAACCTTAGATTAACCTTTAGCGTATTTTTAAAACGTTTTGAAAAATCTTAAAAGCTGTGGTTAAGTTGTCACAAAAAATAAATAAACGCCAGGTTAGGAATAGAGTGCAATTGCATGCCGTTCTTGTCCACGACTGATATCAAAGAAATATTAAAAATTAATCCAAAAGTATTACTTATGTTACTTAATTTATTACTTTGATAAAATTTTATGATAAATAACTAGTTAACTAATTTTTTAATGTAAACCTACATTAAAAAAATCACACAAAAATTGATAACAATATAACTTTAATCACCTCAATGTTAATGTTCTTTTGCGTAAGTAGTATCTCAACCGCTATTTCATTACCTCTCATGGCAGCATAATGAAGAGGAGTAGAACCATTTATATCTTTAGCATTAACATTTGCTTGTTGATCTAATAGATACTTTAATATGCATTCTTCTTTTATTTTATCTTTGACTTTTTTTAAAGGTTTTTTTTTACTTGTTTTTATGTTGACAAAAGAAGGCGTTCTTACCGAATTTTCACTAACATTTAGACTTCTTGATGTTGTGACCTCTGATAACAAACCATTTGCTTCATTTGTATTTTCAATAAATAAATTACGTTTTTTATCTTTAGCATTATGACATTCCAATTCTGTTGTGTTATTGTTATCAGTGCATAAATGAAATTTTGGGAGTGTTTCAGGTGTCTTTAAATGCTCGTTGCTACTAATTGTTTTTAACTTTTTCTCTACAAATCGAGATGCATAGTGCAAAGGAGTAGCACCATATTGACCTGGTATATTCACATCTAAAAAATATTTTAAGCAGTGTTCATATAAAATTATAAAATTATATTTTTATAAAATTAATTAGCATAGTTAGCATAATGAGTCTAAATAATAGTTTTCTCAAAGAAGAAATGAATATAATAAAACTATAATAATAAAATAATGAGTTTTCTCAAAGAATAAAGAAGAAATGAATATAAAATAAAAAAGAAGAAATGAATATAAAAGTGAGAATCAAAAAGAAAAGAAAAAAACAAAATGAACCATTGATTTAGTGAACAAAACAGAACAATGGACAAAATTGATCATTGATTTAGATATTAAAATATTTTCGACTCATTAAGATCGAAAAGATTAATCAGACCTATAACACATAATTTACAATATAATAAATATTTATTTTGAAAATGAGGTGCCATGAACTTAAGAACCAAGACCACAATTAACTATTTAATTGCTACAACCTACCACAAGCTTTTACCACCACTTCTAATGCTCAACTAAAGTTAAATTAGTTAATTTAGTAATTTAAGTTGAATAAACAAATTAAATAAAATATATAGATATTTCACACACCAGTAATAACTGGTGTGTGATGACAAGACCTGAAGGTCTTTTACAAATCTCCACGTTTCTTTTTTTTTTTGTTTATTTTATAAAAAATACTTGTATATTTGTATTACTTATCTCTTATCTTTTATTGTATATTTCATCTTAATATCTTATTGTATAAACTTAATAAAAAGTAACAAAAAACAAAACAAACAAAACACATATAAAAAATTGAAAAAACAAATTTAAAAAAAGAAAATGTTACAAAGATCTAACAATAAAAATGCAAAATCATAAAATTCTTTTAAAAAATACAAAATATCCCAAAAATTTTTGTCTCTAACACCAACCTGTTCTATTTTACAATTTGACCACAGCTGTTTTAATGTTTTAACAATTTTAATGCAATTAAAAAAATTGTTATTTTTAATCATTGACCTTTTCTAAAGTTTTTATTTTTAGGTAAAATAAAATAAAAAATTAATTATTTTGATATAAATACATTTTGTGTAAATTAACAAAAAATATTATATGAGTATTTCTGAAATTAGGTGCATTTTGCCTGTCTAATAATTTCAAACATATAGTTAGAACATTTTGCGTTATAAAAATTACGATCTTATGTTCTGAAACAGCTACTTGTACAAATTTATATTTTGAAAAGTTTCATCTTTCTAAGGGTCTAAGGTCTTTATTGGTCTAAGGTTTTCTGAAGTTGAAAGTGGCTTAGAATTTCAGATTTTACATGTCCTCGGTGTTAATAGTGCTATGTTTCGCATAGATTTCCAATAAAATCTGACATTTAACTGTGCCTAAGACACTAAAATGCTGAACTCTTGAATTGACAATATGAAAATGTCTAATTTGAATATTTTAATTATATTATAAGGTTGCGTGTTTGCTAAATAAGAGTCCTCCATTTTACTGTCATGTACGTAACATTAACAATTCACTGACAAAATAATAAATCCATTGGATAGTTACCGTAAAAAAATGCTTTATTTCATTTTAAAGTATTTGCGTATTATTAGGAATCTATATATGAGCGGTAATTAAGGCAAATTTTATTGTCATTTTAAAATAAATCGATTCATAGCGTATGTTTTTGAATTGTCAGGCACATAACGGATGAATTTTTATTAAGGTAAATATTTATAAATTTGAAATTTATATGATTAGATACATTTTGCTGTTATTTATTAAAAAAATCATTATTGCATTAAATTGACTAATTCATTTTAAGCGTATGAACAGAAACATAGTAAAAATGTCACGTACATAACAGTCATGTTCGTAACGTAATTATGTTACGGACCTGACAATAGCGTTACGTATTTGACAAACATGCCAAATAAATGACCGCTTATGTCAAAAACCAGTTTATTAGTTGGATGATTAAGAATTTACGTATCAGAAATTTTTATTTTAAACCATAAGTATAGTTATTATTTTAAACCATAAATATTTTTTTATTTTAAACCATCATTTAATAGTTCTATTTTGCTGCTAAGCTATTGATATTAAAGAACTGATATTATATTTGTTTCTAACAGAGATCGGAATTACAATTATGGCAAAGAAGTCAAAATCAGGAAGGCAATCGAAATTCAGAAATGAAATAAGAAATAAATCTGCGAAATTCGAAGATTATAAGAAGAAGGAACGAGAGCGTCGAATGCAAAGAAGAAAAGCTACAAAGCTGAAGACTGAACATAAGCAGCGACGTCAATGGAAACAATGGCAAGAAGCGCAACAGCATAGTAGAGCAAATGCAAAGACATGATCGTCATCGGTAAATGATTTATGTATAGAATCTCTACCAGATACATCATTTCCTTCATTACCAAGTTCATCAACTCGAAACCCCAATGAAACTAGGCAGAAAATTCAGGGCAGAAAACGCATTAAAAAGGAACGAAGTAAAGCGTATCGACTGATAAACAAGCTACGTGTACAGGTAATAAAGCTAAGCAAGCCGATAAGTATCGAAAACAAGCAGAAAGATTAAGTAAAAAATCAATAAAACAATAACACGCCACACAGTAAAATGATAAACATGACCCAAGGTTTGCATGGGCGCCCTAAAATCAAAAGAGCCCTTCTGTTTCATAATGTCTCATGTGATACCTTACACAAGAAGTATTCAGTGACCAAATCAGGCAGAGAAAAGTTTGTCATCGCAAAAATGATTACATCTAAACTGATGAGGAAGTATAAACTAATGAAAACATGTCAGCATTTCACTGGTATTAGTACACGCCGTTTATCAAGATCAAATTGCTCACTGTATTGTGCAAGATATAAGTCTACAGTGTTTCGTTATGCACCTGTTGCATTCTATGAAAGAGATGATAACAATAGTATAACTACCAGCATGTCTTCACGTATTCACTATTAGCTACCAGATTATTGCATGCTGAAGTCTATCCTTTCGGATAGCACTGCAGTAATAGTTGTTGACTTTTCAGAAAACTATATGTGTAAGTTGGAGAGAGTTGTACAGTCATCGCACTTTGGTGCATCCAACAATCAATTATCCATACACACTGGTGTTTCATACTTGAAGGAAGAAATTTTATCATTTTGCACAGTGTCAGATTGCCCCAAGCATGAGCCCGCTTCAATATGGGCTCATTTGCTGCCAGTTCTGAGTCATCTAAAAGAACATCATTCAGCACTTACAACAATACATTTTTGGAGTGATAGGCCAACAACACAGCATAGGAACAAACATCATATGCTGTTAACTTGTCATTATTTGTATGATGAAAGATTTACAGGTGGCAGCTGAAATTACTTTTAAGCTGGCCATTGCAAGAGTGCAGCAGATGCGATCAGAGGCACTCTAAAATGTACCACTGATCAAATAGCCGACCATGGTGTCATGATAACTTCAGCTTCAAATTTCCACATTACAAATGACAGGAATGAACAAATTCAAATATCCAACTTGTGAAGACAAAATATGGTATAAATGCGATCAAATAATCAAAAAAGTTTTACCACCGGTTGTAGTTTCTAGACGTGCAATAGCACTTAGTGAAGAAGATTGGCAGAGCATAAATGCAAACGATTAATCGGTGTTCATCATGTTTTCAATATATCATTGACTAGTTTACTGCACTTAATACTCTCCTTTTTTTTTGTTAATTTGTAATTTAATACAAATTTTTTTAATATCCAAGTCACTTTTGAGTCATTTGAAAGTAATCTTAAATCACCAAATAACAATCATTTAAATCTGGTCATAGTATTTACTTGAATTTCATATGTAAACCTTTTGATAATTGTCATGAGAATGATGGCTGCTGACAACAAATAATACAGTATGAAAAAAATAAAAGTGTTTTTTTAATGAATTGGTACCTTTGTCAACTAACTAAACGTAATGTTTATAATAGCCTACTGCATATATAAAGTAGTGATTTTGATAAAGTCCATCATTTAATATTGTTATGTCATGTACGTAACGCGATTAAAATTTTAGTTTCAAAATTAAACTTAAATAAAAGAAATTAAGTTTTGTTGGTTATTTGTACACACATAGGAGTTAGTTAAATACAAAACAAAAGTATTTCTGCTAAAGTTTTATGCAGTTTATCTTTAGTGAAAGTAGTCTTTTGAAAATGCGCCTAATTTTGAAAATACTCATACAAATTTGTTTATGTAGAAGTATTTTTTATGATAAATTTAAACATTTGAAACTATTTTTCCATGCTTTTCTAAAAATCTTTTATGCAATTATTTTTTGATATTTTGTTGATTAATGTAAAATTTTTGAAGTATTTTGAAACGTTTTGTTTCGATTTTTTTAAATCTTTTAAAAAGATTTTTTTTTAAATTCCAATTATTTTTAAATTTTTAGTTGAGCATGAATAATTAAAATCTTTTATAATAATTTTTAACCTTGTTACATGAATGAATATTAATAAACTTACAAATTGCTCATAAATTAAATCACTTACTGGTAGTATATTTTATTTAAACCGCAGACGCATTAAATTTAAATTATCAAAAAATAATTTACCAATTTTTTTATTAATATAACATTATTTTTATAATAATTTTTTTTTGCTACTTTCTGGATAAAATCTTTATACAATTTAAAAATAACATATATAACACATTTTAACAATTTAAATAAAATTTGTTCATTTATTAAAGAATTACTAGAAGTTTGTTACTAGAAGTTTGTTACTAGAAGTTTGTTACTAGAAGTTTGTTACTTAATGTAAATTAGAGCGCAACAGTTATTCGTTTATCAAATATTGATGTACAAATAAACGTTAGAGAACATTCAGTTAAATTATTTGTTAAACAATATTCGTAAAAACTAATCGTTTAAATTATGCGTAGGATACGAATATATTCGTAAACAAATTTTTGTTTAATAAATAATAACCGTTTAACAAATATATATTTGTCGAACAAATAAATAGGAACAAATATATATTGGTTTACTTTTATT